TTCCTTCCCATAGTTACTTGCCTCTTCCCTGTGTCCTTCCCTCCCATGCACTCCCGTCCCCTGAGCTGTCTCCCTGTGCAAACACTGCCCTTCTGTTCTCCCATGATTGTTCTCTCCAAGGAGTGTATCTACCTAATGTAAATGTTCAGCTCCTATGCTGGTCTTTTGTTTGGCTGGAAGCCACAGGAGTGGGTTCAATTCCAGACCTGAGGGGCAGCTAGAGGCCGTCGTCTGGGTGCTTCCATCAGGCTCTATCAGACCAGCAAACCTGGTCCCTTTTTTTTTTTTTTTTAAGTGATTTTAAGTTTTGTTCCACATTATTCTCCCAGTATTATCGCTGTGGGTTTTCCATAAATGCCCTCTATCATGTTGATAGATCTCCTACATAGATTCCCCTCTGAGTTGTTGAAAGTGGTAGCCGGGCACTGTCTAGTCTTCTGGTCTCATAGTTGTGTAGGCTGAGGATCACATGGTGTACTAGTCACTTGGACTAATTAATCGTTTCTATGCATCTTTGGTTTTCTTCATTCTTCTTTGCTCTGGACAAGAAGACACCCATCGTTGCACCTACATGACTGCTTGCAAGCTTTTAAGATCGCAGTTTCTACTCACCAAAGTAGGATGTGGAACAGTGTTTTTGTGTAGTATGTTATGCCAGTTGAGCTTGATGTCTCCTGTGACTATGGTCTGCGACTATGGTCCCGAGCCCACAGGTCCAACTACGTGAGAGTTTCATTTATCTTTTTATTGTTGACTTATAGGAGTTCTTTATATAGGGTTTGAATATAAGTCCTTTGTTAGATAAGTGTGCTAACTATTCGTTTATTAATCTTTTGGGGAGCAGAATATTTTGATGAAGTCCAGTTTAATTACTTTTTCTTTTGTGGTTTGTTCTTTTTATGTCTTATTTAAAAAAAATATTTGGTTATCTGTTTAGTTTCCCAGTGCTTCTGTAACAGAAGTACCATACGTGGTATTAATAAGTAGAAAGTTATTTTCTCATAGTTTAGGAAGCTGAAAGCACTGGTTCCAGTGGGAGGCTTTGTCTGTTCTAAGGAAAATCCCTGTCTCCACTTCCCTAGCCCAGC